GATGGATACTGTCAGCCCGCAAGCGCTCACTGGCCTCTGTATGTGGGGACAGATGATGTCAGGCAGCGGCTGCTCCGGCCCTTGCCTCGCCTTGCCTTGCCTCATGGCAATTGGCACACCCACCCTGCATTGCCTCAACTCACCCCGCAGAATGAGCCTCCAGCCCACTGCCCCACCTGCCAGAGACCCCCTGGATTTCCCTCAACCCTGCCACACCCCCACAGGAATCTCTCCCCAATAGCATCATCGAAGTGGCCACACTCACCATGGCCACGCCCAGTTGGCCATGCCCACCTGGCACCCGGCGATAAATAAATGGGTTTTGGGTTGCAGTTTGGGCACTCTAAAACAGGGGTGTCAAACTCAATTTCATTGAGGGCCACATCAGCATTATGGTTGCCCTTGGGGGGCTGGGTGGGTGTGGGCAGGGTGGGTGCGGCCTACTGGATGGGCATGAGTGGAGTGGGTGTGGCCTACTGGGTGGGCATGGCCAGCTCCACATCGTTCGCATCAAGGGTACCTGTGGGGGCCTGGGCAGGAGTAGGACAGATCTGAGGGTCTCTGGTAAAAGGGGGTGGGACTGGGGCAAGTGCCAAAGCATGGTCCATTTCTTCATTCCTCACAAAAGGTGACACCTCCCCAGCATGAACCCAGGGGGCGGGGCCCACACAGCAGGGACTGGTTCCTTGCTGTTTTCAGACGGCCTTGTGGAGCTAAGAATAAATGCCTTTCAGCATAGAGGGCCACCACAAAATTGTACATTGGCTCCCAGCCGGCCCGGGCTAGGGCCAAGACAGAGGGGGCCGTTCCCTCACTGTTTTCAGGATGGCTTCACGGGCCACATGAAACCACTTTGCAGGCCGCATCCAGCCCCCAGGCCTTGTATTTGACATGTCTGCTCTAAAAGGTTCGCCATCACTGCCCTATAACATTTCAGACAAATGGCTATCCAGTCTCTTCTTTAAAATTTCCAGTGTTTCTGGAGGCAGGTTGTTCCACTGATTAATTGTTCTGTCACAAAATTTCTCCTTAATTCTAGGTTGCTTCTCTCTTTGGTTAGTTTCCATCCGTTGCTTCTTGTCCTGCCTTCAGGTGCTTTGGAGAATAGCTTGACTCCCTCTTCTATGTGGCAGCTCCTGAGATATCATGTCACCCCTCGTCCTTCTCTTCATTAGACTAGATATTCCCAATTCCAGCAACCGTTCCTTATATGTTTTAGCCTTTAGTCCCCTGATCATCTTTGTTGCTCTTCTCTGTACTCTTTCTAGTCTCAACATCTTTTTTACATCGTGGTGACCAAAACTGGATGCAGTATTCCAAGTGTGGCCTTACCAAGCCATTGTAAAGAGGTATTACCACTTCACGTAATCTTGATTCTATCTCTCTGTTAATGCAGCCTAGCACTGTGTTGGCTTTTTTGGCAGCTGCAGCACACTGCTGGCTCATATTTAAGTGATTGCCCACTAGGACTCCGAGATCCCTCTCATAGTTGCTACTATTGAGCAAGGTATCACCTATACTATACCTGTGCATTTGGTTTTCCTTGCCTAAATGTAGAACCTTACTTCTTTCACCACTGAATTTCAATTTATTAGATAGTGCCCAATGTTCAAGTCTGTTCAGATCCTCCTGTATCTTAAGCCTATCATATTGACCTAATAAAGAAGCAAGGTAAGCTTACTAGGAGTTCAGCACCATATAAATTTAATAAATTATTAGTAGTAGTACAACCCCTTAGATGCAGAGGTTTGGAGGTTTCAAGTTAATAATGGGACTTCAGCTTTGTATAATATCCTCAGTGATTTTATTGGTATTAAAATCCAGCTCTCTCTGTATGTAATAAATATTCCATAAATTATTTATGTAAATAAATATTATATCAAACCAAGATTTGTTCTGTTTCTTTTGGGCACCTGATGGTATTTAAGAACATGTAGCAAAAATTTATGTAAAAGACTAGTAAATACTATATTTTGTTTGCAAATATTTCTAAAGAGATCTTTCGCTGAATAAAAGGGGAAATAAGGTAAAAAAAACAACAGTGCCATTAATTGAAAACTGCTATTAAAAAAGTAAATATTACACCTATTAATACAACACTATATTTTATAATTATGCATTAGACTGAACAAATATATTATTATAACTCTATAATTATGCATTTAAGAAATATATCCTAAATTGGACCAAGAGACTTTAGAGGTCTTTTTTTTTTTGTCCCCTATCCAGGAAACCAAATTTTTTGAATTAAATTCCAGAAACAGCGAGGTCCCTCCGAGTGCTCAAGATTGCTACAAAGGTACAAGAAGAATGAAATGAGCAGAAAGAGGGGTTATCAAAACTTCTTTGCAACTACAGTGAAATGTGCCATCAAAGACTTTGAGAATTGTTGTTGGAATGAAATATTATACACACACTTGATTTTAGTGCAGTTCCTTAACAATACATTTAGCAACTCTAAACATCTGAAGTTCTTCATCTGAGAAACAATGCTGAAACTGCCATAACTAAAGATGAAACTGCCATAACTGCCATAACTAAAGAGGAATGTAATAGGGTGGACATAATCCAGGAATCTTGTCTAAAAGATACCTTAGGGGGATAGTTAGGAAGGAACCAAGTTGTTAAGGAAACAAAAGAAAAAAATGCCACATGAACAAGACAAAAGAGGTTGGGCCCATCAACAGCCACCAGACTTAAAAATTAACAAGGCAAGAGTAGCTGCCAATCTTGTCAATCAACAAAGCAAAACAAGCGAGGATTGGGGAAATAAAAGTACCGTATATGCTGGCATATAAGGCAACTTCCGCAAGCGCTAAAATCGGCGCCAAAGACGGGGGTCGTCTTATATGCCGAGTCGCGTTATACGCCGGAAATACTGGTAGTTTCCGGCGTATAAGACGACGTTCTAGGAATGCGGCTCGGCGACAAAGACAGGGGTCATCTTATACGCCGGGTCGCCTAGTACGCCAGCATATACGGTAGTGTATTCTGGGAGGGATATTTAGAATCTAGAAAGCTGTACAAATTAAGAGAAGGAAAGAAACAGAAAGATTTATTTTATTTATCAAAATATTATTTATCAAAATTTATTAAAGTTTGAAACCACCCCTCTCCCTCACAGAGGGACTTTGAACATTGTACAAATAAAATATTAAAGCATAAAAAAGTATATAAAATTTTAAAAGTCAAGGATAAATTAAAAATCAGTGCTAAAAATTAATTATATGTAATTCTTTGAGCATCCTAGATGTCCTGCGCAGCTGCATCTTGTACCAGCTGAAGACTCAGGATACTTTTCAAGGATAGCCCATATACAGCACCTTGCAATAGTCCAAACAGGAGATGACCAGGGCATGAGTGACCAAACGGAGAGCCTCCCTTCGTACAATACAAAGTTAAGCAAAGGCCCTCCTAGCCACAACTGCCACCTGCTTTTAGAGCAGGAGCTGTGAGTCCAGGACCACCCCCAGATTACCTACCAGGTCTGTCTGGGATAGTGCAGCCCATCCAAGACCAAAGATGATAAACTCCTGAATACAGAGGGGGCCATCCACAGCAACTCTGTCTTACCAGAGTTCAGCTGAAGTCTGATGTTCCCCATTCAGGACCCTACAGACTCCAGGGGCCACAAAAGAATGTCCACAGCATCACTCACTCCACCCTGGAAAGCAGCTGTCAGGGCCACATAGCAGATTAGCAGGCATTTTCCTCAGTCCCTTTGAAACCCAATTGGGTCCATCAGTTGCTGGGTGTGTACCTCCTCTCTCAGATCACATTGCTACTGCCCTGACAAGAAAAGCATATCTGGAGTCTAGCCACTGTCCCATGTGAGATTAAGAATGAGAGAGGTCCATGGCCATAATGGATAGTCAGGAACTCCCCAATCACTTTGGAAGTACCCCTAGCAACAGAAAGTTGAAGTCCCCCAGAACCATAAGTTTGAGGAACTCCACAGCCAGCTCTGAGATGGCCTTTAGCTGCTCATGCAGGGAAGTTGCTATACAGCAGGGAGGCTGGTACAATAGTAACAATCCCAACTACTCCCCTGAGCCTATCTTCAAGAACTGGGTCTCACAACCGACAACTTGTGGAGCAGTGCCTCTGATGCCTACCAAAGATTCCCGGATGACAACTGCTACCTGTATTCCCCTGCCGTCTTGCCTGGTGCCAAACTGTAAACAGTGTGTGTGTGTGTGTGTGTAAAAGAGCAAATATATATTATAACCAATAATGTTTTGCTGTTATTTTAAATTCAGTGGGTTTCTATGTATTCTAAAGCAGGGCTTTTCAACCTTTTCACCCATTGTACCACTTTTAGAATATGGCAATATCCGAGTACCACCAGTCGCCTAGCAAGGTGTCAAAAACCTGATGACCAAAAAAAACAAAAAGGAAAAAAGTGATAAAGTACAGGTAGTCCTCGACTTACAACAGTTCGCTTAATGACTGTTCGAAGTTACAATGGTACTGAAAAAAGTGCCCCCCAAGCCACAGCCGAGCAAGACACCTACCTGCCCACCCAGCAGTGCTCTTCCTCCTGTTCGAGATTTTCATTGTTGTGAGAATTTCTGTTGGGGATTGGCAGTGGGGGTTGGGTGGGGGTGTTTTGTTTTTATTCCCCCTGTGTGCTGAGTTGTTGCAGCAGGTTTTGGTCACTTCATATGACCCTGGGACACTGTGATCATAGTAAATATGAATCAGTTGCCAAGCATCTGAATGTAAATCACAAGACCCTATAGATGCTGCAACATTCCAGCTGATTGGCGCTTCTTCTGGGCTCAGCAGAAGAACCAGGATCAGCACCGAGCTCCAGCTGGAGCCTGGTGCTGATCCTGGTGCTTCCACTGAGCCCTGACAGCCCCGAAGTACCAATCAGCTGGAAAGTGGCACTGATCCTGGTGCTTCCGCTGAGCCCTGACAGCCCCGCAGCTCCAGCCATCTCTTCGCTCAGGCTTGTGTGGTGCTGTCACGGGTTCAGCTCATTCCCCTCCCCCGCTACCACTTTTCTAGGATGGCCGCGTACCACTTGCCAGGTGCCAATGTACCACAGGTGGTACCAGTACCACTGGTTGAAAAGCCCTGTTCTAAAGAACAGATTGTGCCTCAGTGTTTAGTTGAAAGTGATTTGAGTGGAGCTGTTTTCCAGGGCTGCAAATGTGTGAGTGAGTGACCATAAGCTGAACCTCGGGGCCTGTATGTAACACATCTGTCTTCTTTGAGAAAAATACTGAAAGCCAGCTTCAATAGAACATTGAGATTGAGCCATAGTGCAGCGTGGTCATCATCCCAAATATTTCAACAGCTACTTGAGATTGTTGGCCTGGTAGCTCCACCTTTCTTCTTTTTTATCCTATCATCCTCAGGGCAAGCTTCTTCTCTAGGGATGGAGAGTCCTTGTATAAGCACTGTGAGAATCACAACAGAAGGATCTTTCCAGAGAGAAAATCCTCAGAAATTCCACCCAAAGATGAGGCTAGGAGGGCAGTACACCAATGCCTCTGTCTGCTTTTGCATGGATGCCAAATAAGACACAATCACTTTCGATGGAATGTCGGGTTGCTTTAGTAGTCTATGCAGGACCTTTCCACGGCATTACTTGCATCTTCAGCATTACATGAAGCTTTTTTTTTATAACCCTTCTTGAGCTTCTCCTCCAGTTCTGCTATTTATTACAGTCTCTTTTGAATAGTCTCTTTTTTATTAATCCTGAAGACACCAAAGAAATTGCCAGAGTTTTGGAGACCCCAGTTATTGTCTTCCTCAGTAGATCCCTTTAATGTCCCATAGAGTACGTCATTACTTGACAATTGATAAATCTGAGATACGGAGTTTGTATATGATTCCTTTACAGTATTAGACAAATTCAAAGTGAGAGTCAGAAGAGCAGGATTTGAATCATTGTTATGATGAATATAGAAATCAGCTTTCATCGTCTTGTTATTACCGGCAAAATAGCTACGACGAGCAACATTGATCTGGGCATAGATACAGTACAGCCCATCCTCTTTAATCTTTAGCTTCCGAAAGCTATATTCAAGCGATGGTCCAAGGAATGCTCCTTCAACGTCACGGTAAAACCAGTCTATTGTCCCTCGATTAAGGCTAGCTGCAAAGAGAAGAAAGAATCAGATAGAAGCATCAACTAGTGTCCAATACTGGAGTTTAACTTTCCAGCATATAATAGAATAACAGAGTTGGAAGGGACCTTGAAGGTCTCTTAGTCCAACCCTCTATTCTGGTTATTCTTGGTGTGGCTCTGACAATATGAATTCATGCATTACAATCTAACAGGTACAATATGAAGAATGATTCCTGCATTACAATCTAAGAGCTACCTTTAAATGCATATATTTTCTATTTTTAAGTTGGTAACAATAGAATGGGTTCATAACATAATTATGTTAAGCTATAACATAATTTGGCTATGGCTTAGTGTTGTATACACAGGTCACACCCATTTTGCTTTATTCGGGGAGAAAAAATCATGCTTCTCAAAGTTTGAGAGAAACCGATCCAGGCATAGCCAAGAGAAAGATCCTACTTATAAAGTACTGTAAAGTACTTTTCTATGTAAAATGTAAACACATTACTTGCATTTGACCTTAAGAAACAAAGTTCTCTGCTAGAGAATACAGGTATTCATTAATTTGCAATTTGCAATTCGGACTGTCATTTCTGTCATTCAGAAATGTGACCATAAAGCATAATCACATCATTTAGCAATGACAAACCTTGCAGTTCCTACCACTGATGTTAACGGATCCCAGGGTCATTAGGTGTGGCAATGTCCTGCCAAATCACAACCAAATCAGTGAAAAATCTGGCAGGAAGTTGCAAGTCTCAGATGGTTTGCAAACTGGCTAGCAGGCAGGTGACTGGCTGCTGCCAGGTGGAGGAGGGCATGAGGAGATGCATGGAGGTGGGAGGGAGATGTGGCAAGAGAATGGGAGGGAAGCACGCAGTGAGGATGTGTGAGGATGCCCAAAGGTATGAGGAAGGTGCAGCAAAGCATGAGGGATACAAGGGAAGTGTTGCAAGAGTTAGGGAGAGTTAGCAAGGGCAGCGTGGTGAAGTTGTGTGAGGACACAAGAGGGTTGAGAATAGAACAAAATAGAGCTGGAAGGGGTCTTCTAGTCCAGCCCCCTGCTCAAGCAGGAGAACCTATACCAACTCAGACAAGTGACTGTCTAGCCCAGGGGTAGGCAACCTTGGCTCTTTTATGACTCATGGACTTCAATTCCCAGAATTCCTGAGCCAGTTGTTCAATTCTGGGAATTGAAGTCCACGAGTCATAAAAGAGCCAAGGTTGCCTACCCCTGGTCTAGCCTCTTTTTAAAAACCTCCAGTGATGGAGCGCCCACGATTTCTGAAGGCAAGCTGTTCCACTGGCTAATTGTCCTCACTGTCAGGAAGTTTCTCCTTAATTCCAGGTTGCTTCTCTCTTTGGTCAATTTCCAACCATTGTTTCTTGCCCTGCCCTCTGGTGCTTTGGAGAATAGTTTGACCCCCTCTTCTTTGTGGCAGCCCTCAAATACTGGAATACTGCTATCATGTCTCCTCTATTTCTCCTTTTCTTTAGACACTAGCCAAACCCAAGTCCTGCAGCCGTTCTTTGTATGTTTTAGTCTCCAAGCCTTTGATCATCTTAGTTGCTCTTCTCTGAATTTTTTCCAAACTCTCAACTTTTTTATGATATTGGCTGCAGTATTCCAGGTATGATCTTGCTAGGGTTTTATAAAGCGGTACTAATATCTCGCATGATCTTGGTTCTATGCCTCTATTTATACAACCCAGGATTGTATTAGCTTTTTTGGCTGCTTTTTTGGACAATCATGGTTAAGTGATTGTCCACTAGGACTCCAAGGTCCCTCTCACAGTTACTGTTTTTAAGCCAGGTCTTGCCCAATCTGTACTTGTACTTTTGGTTTTTCCTACCTAAATGTAAAACTTTGCTTCTCTCCACACTGAAACTCATTTTATTGGATAGGGCCCATTGTTCAAGTTTGTCAAGATCTTTTTGGATCCTGAGTTTGTATTCTGGGGTGTTGGCTATTCCTGCCAGTTTGGTGTCATCTGCAAATTTAATGAGTTCCCCTTCAATTCCCTCATCTAAATCATTGATGAAGATATGGAAGAATACTGGGCCTAAGACGGAACCTTGTGGTACCCCACTGCTTACTTCTCTCCATGTGGATTGAGGACTATTTGTTGAATATGGTTTGCTAGCCAGCTGCATCCATCTGTTGGTGATGTTGTCTATTCTACCTTTTTCTAGCTTACCAAGGTTGTGATCTACTTTATCAAATACCTTACTGAAGTCTAAGTATACTACATCCACAGTATTTCACTGGTCTATTAGTTTAGTCACTTTGTCGAAGAATGAAATAAGATTGGTTTGGCATGATCTGTTTTTAACAAACCCATGCTGGCTACTAGTTATAACTTTATTTGCTTCTAGTTGTTTGCAGATCTGTTTTTTGATTATCTTTTCCAATATTTTCCCAGGTATTGATGTTAGATTGATTGGTCTGTAGTTTCCTGGGTCTGTTTTTTTTCTCCTTTCTTGCCCTTTTCCAATCCTCAGGTACTTCTCCAGTGCTTCAGGATTTTTGAAAGATGTGGTGCAATGGTTCTGAGATAACATCTGCCAGAGGGGGTGGAAGGGAAGATCACATGACCATGGGATGCTGCAACCCATCATAAATGGGAGCCGGTTGCCAAGTGCCCAGACCAGGGCATGCTAAAGTGGCGGGAACTCCCAGGACTGGTCATAACCACCATTCATCCAGTACCATTGTAACTTTAAATGAAATGGTCACTGAACGAATGGTTGAAGACTACCTGTACTATTGTATATTACATAGTTGCCTATAAAGTCACATGAAAGTGAGATGACAGGTTATATAAATTGAATGAATCAATCTATCTATCATCAATAAATACACTGTAATAAAGCAAACCTATCACACAAAGCCATAGTTTGCTATAACTATATTTCATACAATTCTAAGATACAAATAATGATTTATATAAAATAAGCCTTCGCCCTTCAAGGATCTTTTAAGTTATCATATCCATTTGACAGGCTTTTTTACATCATCATAATTTAAAAATATTTTCCAGAACTCACAACCTTTCATTTATACTATCTTGTCAGTCCATATAAGAGATCTAGTGTTAAAGTCATTTACAAACAGAAGAAAGAGTTGATAACACACTCTTGAAAATATTTAGCTATACTGTAAATATAATTCAGGACTTGCCGAAAAGCTTGGTTTTATCTAATATGTTCTGAAACTAATAAACTCTAAGTGGTCACCTTGGAATTTTTTGAGTCCGACAGAGTTCAAATCATACAAAGCTCCAGAAAGAAAGAAAAACACCATACTCTTTACAATTTAGCATCCAGCTCTTAGGCTCCTAATGAATAGCCTGGTAGTATCTGATGCTATTTCAGTGCTGAAAATAAGAAGATAATTCACATAGTTTCACACAGTTTTTGGGATGACAGGCAACTAAAAACTTTATATAAGAAACAACAACAAACTAATGCAAAGTCCCTTTATACCAACTCAACTTAACTCTTCTAAAAATGATTATTTTTCTGACTCTTCCATGAAACAAAAAAGTTTATTTTAAGCTTTGAGACACCTGAAAATAGCACACAAAACAAACCACCCATGCTGACTATAAGCATGTATATGTGCACATCACAGTTTTTTTAATTATTTATTAATATTCCATCTTTATTATTTTTATAAATAACTCAAGGTAGTGATCATACACAATACACCTTCCTTCTCCTATTTTCACCACAACAACTCTGTAAGGTGAGTTGGGTTGAGAGACAGCGACTGATCCAAAGTCACCCAGCCGGTTTCCATGGCCAAGGCAGGACCAAAACTCACAGTCTCCAGGCTTCTACTCTGGTGCCTTAATCACAGGACCAAACTGGCTCTCTTAGTGGTCTTTAAAAGACCACTGAATTCCTGGAAGTAGTGCTCACTTCTAGGAATCTTTTTCAACTATCAGCCCAAGATTACCAAGATGACTCTTCCCTCAAGCACCTATCCATATTGGACATAACTGACTTCTGAGATCAGCCAGGATGGTTGGATACTGCCACCAACTGAGGTAAGTGATCTTTACTTCTTTTTATAATAATGTTTATTAAAGTTTAAAATTATAAAGATAAAAAACTAATACAAATGAAGGACAATAGAAATAAGAACAAGAATAGAAAGTGCAAGGGGAACGGGGAAGGGGGGGGGAGAGAAATATAAGTAAATAGCAATAGCACTTGGACTTATATACCGCTTCACAGTGCTTTATAGCCCTCTCTAAGCGGTTTACAGAGTTAGCATAATGCCCCCAACAATCTGGGTCCTCGTTTTAGTGACCTTGATCTGGTGACACTTGAACTGCAAAACCAGTAGCATATGAAACAAAGTCTGAGACTTATTTCCACTCAGCTCCCACAACATTGCAGCTGGTATTAATACCCAGGGCCACTTGGAGTAGCCTTCCCATAACCAGGCATTCTCCCATTATTTATTATTTTACTCATCTATTTATTGGATTCACCTACAGTACTGGTTTATTCATGACTCAAAACAGGTGGAATTATAACCCTCGCTATGCCACCAGACACAGGGCTAGAGCACCTGAAGAGTACCAGTTTGGGGAAACAATAAAACTTTGGGGCCTTCAGAGCTAGTAACCAGATATCAAGGACATTTACTTACCATTTCCATTCAGCTTAAGGACCAGATGAGCAGCGGATACCTGAAAAAGAAGGGGAAAGCCGATTTAGCCCTTTCAGAATAAAGTTGACCACAGTGTTTCCTCACTCACCTCAGGGAGGGGTTGTGGGATGCCAGCTAAGGGCTACCTCTACCCTCCAAGCTGAGGGCTGGAGCAGTCTCGGCTCTCACTACGGTACGGCTCCCTGTTATTTGCACACTCCTAAGTACCTGGCTGGCGGTACTTGTCTGGTGCGGCGGAGACTGCTGCTTCGTCAGACTCAGGACCAGCACGATGAGCGAGGCGATGAAGAAGCAGATGTTCCCCAAGAACACCGCGCAAACGGAGGCAGAGCGCCAAGACCACCGAGTGCCGTCGACCCGCTCCATCAGACTGCTGCTCGGCTGCAGAAGCCCCGGTTCTTGATCTCTGGGCTAGTTCAGGCTCCGCCCCACGGGGCTTTCTGGTGATTTCCTCCGACGCGTCGGGATTTGGATGATGGACCCGCCCCTCCGCCTTTCTGCTCCGGAGCCAGAGGCAGTTCTTCAGCTCTCTTTTGACCACTGAAAGCCATTCTAATTTTAATTTTTTCACTAACCGCACCTTCAGATGGGAATCGCTTCATGAATGATTTCCCTTTTTGCTTTGAACTCGGCCACGCGTAAGGGTGAGGTTTTGAGGGAGAAAACCCCAATTCTCAGCGCTTTCCACAACTTCCCTTCCTTTTCTCTGTTTCGTAAAGATCGCGGATCGCGTGGGAGAGAGGAAATCCCTCCGGGAATTCTCAAATGAAACTCGGCGTTGTAACGCGGATCTCTCAGAACTCCTTGGACCGACTTCCCCCAGGCAGGGGCTCCCCAGATAGGTCAGACCACCGTTTCCATAACCTCCAGTTGACACCCGCAGAGGGGATTATGGCTGTGGAAGTCTAGTGTATCTAGGGAGGTTGGGAAAGGCTCTGTTGGTGGGAAGACAGGGATGATCTACAATATACATCTTGATCCTTGATTATATCTTTAAAACACTTTATGGCCCTGGACCAGGTTCTCTGCCCAGCCTTCTGTTTCTGAGAGTTATCTGCCCACCCCACTAGATCAGATGGATAGCAGGCTCCAGATCCCTTCCTTGAAATACTGCTATCTAGTGGGACCTCAGAAGTCCTTGCCTTTTCTCTGGCTGTCCCTGACTTATGGTCCATCTTCTCTCCGACAGTCTAGCAGACTACACACACACACACACACACACACACACACACACACAGCCTTCTGGAAAGCCATTGAAACCTGGCTTTACTAGGCACTGGGATAGAGTGATGGGAACCTGCACATGGGTTTGGAGGCACCCTACAAGGATTATTGAGGCACAGTGTTTTTTATGGTTTTTGTAGTTTTACTATTGTGAGCCAGCCAGATTGTTGTAAGATGAGAAACCATACAAATCTTCTAAATAAAATAAATACTTTTTGTTAAGCTTATGAAAGAATGAGATGTGGTAGAAGAAGCACTGGAAGAAATTGACGGAGATGACCAGAGGTCTGCAGAAATCTTGCCCCATTCCTGTTAAAGCATTCTGCTGGAAATATGTGGAAGAAGGAAGGCAACCGAGGCAGATAAATCCTTCAGCTTCCTTAAAATATGTTCCACAGGTTAAATTATATCCATAGTGGCAGTAAAGAGACCAAAGCACAGACTTTGGTCTCTTTACTGCCACTACGGATATAATTTAGATTTTGTGCTGGTAGAGTTTGCTATGATTCAAAGATGGTGTAAATTCAGCAATGCGAAAATGCTCAGAGTGCCCTAACTATGCTAATCATTATCAAAATTTCCACCAAGACAACACTGAACCAAGTTTGCAAAGGGATGTTTTGCATGTTTATTCTTAAAACATGCCTTGCTGAGCCATTACGATATCATAAAACCTACTCCAAATGATTAATCTTAAAAGCTGGTGAAGCACGGCAAGCAACTAATAAGGGAAACCTGTTATTGCTGGGTATCCCATTGGAAGATAGAAATTAAATCTGTGCCTCAATTTCTGAGAAAATCTGGATAAGAGTTCATTCTATGAGGCAAATGATGCAGGACTTACTTGGTTTTACACTACGGATTGTTTAACTCCAACCATTGGATATCAGATGAGAGGTAGCTGTCCCTAAGTCATTACTCTCCAGATAGGTTGATGATACTTTCCATAAGGTGACAGGCAGCAAGGAGAAAGCAGAACTTCTTAATTATTTCTTTGCATCTGTTTTTACACAAAAGGAAGAAACAGCCCAACCTATCAATCCAGCACCAAGGGAGATAGAACATGTATACAAGTCAAAATACTCAAGGAATTAGTAAGCGAATATCTATCCACCCTGGATGAGTACAAATCACCTGGGACAAATGGTTTACATCCCAGGATTTTGAAGGAGATGACAGATGTAATTTCAGAATCACTGAATATAATCTTTCAAAGCTCATGTAGTACAGGGGAAATACCAGCGAGGACTGAAAATGAGCTGATGTAGTTCCAATATACAAAAAAAAAAAAGGGGGGGGGGAGAAGGATCCAGAAAATTGTAGGCCAATAAGCTTGACCTCAATACCTGGTAAAATTCTGGAAAAGATAATTAAGTGGAGAATTTGTGAGTACCTAGAAACAAAGAAGATTACCAGAAGCCAGCATGGGTTTGTCAAAAACAGATTATGCCAGACAAACCTTATCACCTTTTTAAATAAGGTAACTAAATTAGTGGATAAGTGGGTTAGACTAGAAGACCTCGGAGTTCCCTTCCAACAGATATGATTCTATTATATCTCCCAATCAATATAGACATGATGGATACCTTGACTGGGGATAAAGGGATTGTACTCTAACCAAACACATCCAGAAAGGTCTAAGTGCTGCAAGACTCTTCTGAACTGTACACATTTCATGCAGGCATTTTGCTAGTTGTTTCTCAAACTTTCCTTTTGGCACATTTTGTTCCTTCTTGATGGAGAATGTGCTGTAGTGTAAAACCAAATAGACAACCACCATCCATGATTAATTCCTTTAACAACTGCTGAACTTGTCTTGTCATCAAAATTATGTTCAAAGCCACTTTTGCAATTCAGCAACTGTACCCATTCACACTTTGTGGTTGATCTGACAGTGTGAGTTATTTCCTCTAGATGAACTGGTAACATGGAAAAAAATCTTTTATTTTAAGAATCTGTATCAATCCATCAAATCTTTATTTTATCAGCATAGTGAAGCTTTATCTAGAGACATTTTATTTTTTTTTATAAATCAAAAGTATTGCCCAAAATGAACCCTCCACTTTTCTGAATATTTTACCATTATCTCCTGCAATGTAAGTGAGGTTTATTCATTAGAGAAATGGATCTATGATACCCTTAGGCTCAAGTAACTAATTTAAGTAACTTTATATCGGGATTATTTCCAAAAATAAAAAAGGATATAGATGTTATCAATAGGTTTTAGATTTATCTGTTAGATTAGATTTATTAAATTATTAATTAATTAATTGACTGATTTGATGTATTATTAATACATTATTACATTAGATTGATTAATACACCACATTATTCAAACTTTGAGCATGCTATGCCTAGTCCTTTGCTGACTAGGTCCTAACTAGGCGTAGAGTCATTTTGATAGGGAGATCGGCAGTATATAAATGTAATAATAAATAAAAGAATATAACAGCTTTAGAAGAACTGCTTTTGTGACATTACATGAACTCTATAGATCAATTTCATTATTTTCATTTTAATTTTGCTGCAGAAGTGGTCCATCTCTAACACTGAAATAACCCATTGAGGCCATATTTAACTTTCAGTATCATTTCTTCATAGCACAAATATTGCTCTTCTTTCCCTCATATTGCCCACAACTATTGGGGGGGTTCAGATAGTCAAAAACAAAAGCAGTGTTTTCTATGTGCATGAAGGTACACCGACATGAGACCTAAAGGATTTTTGTATCTAGCAGCGTTAGTATGTGCTACATCGTCTGCTAAAAGTCATTTTATCAAAGCCCTTCCATTGAGTTGAAATTCACATCTACGTAGAGAGACTGAGAGAGACCCAGCCATCAGGAGTGCTTTGAACAGCTCTGCCTATTTCAGTAGGACTTATCAACGCCAATCTTCTGGTCCCAGCTGGAACTGATGTGCCCTGTCTGATTCTGCTGCCATTGGTGCCATCCCAGATTTTTCATCAAGATTTGGACAAAACTTTTGAAGATCAGTAGTACAATTATTTCAGAAAGAAATAATTGGCAGAGGTCCTCTCTTTAGGCATTACCATTTGTGGACTACACGTCTGCATTCTAATGTCTCATTACAATGTGTAGCTCTCTATATACACCTTTTGGCTCCATAGACAAAAGATCCTGGCTGGTTTGCAAAATAAGTCTGGCACAAAAGAAAGACCCTCCTTTCATACACCTGCCTAGTCCTTCTTCGAAGTTGGCCCAGCCAGGGCGTGGCTTGACCTAGACCAGTGGTTCTTAACCTGGGTGATATTGCCCCCCAGGGGGCGATTTTTTTTTCTGGGGGTGATGGAACGAAAAGGGGTGACATGGGGGCGAAGGAATGAAAAGGGGGTGATATGGGGGCAATGGAGCGAGAAGTTTTGAGGACACTTTTGACACTTTTTTGTACAATGAATCGCTGTATATCTGTTGTACAAAAACATCAGATCGCTCACTCTTAGTGGATTGAATTGTGTTTTCAAATGTTCCTCCAGCTAGCTTCAGTACAGAACGGCGTACATATGTGAATACACATCGCTTATCTTCATGCACGTTGCGCAGCAGCATCTACCCATACAGTGGTGCGCCAATGGCCAGAATGGGCAATGATGGAGGGGGGAGCGCTTCTTTCGAAACATCGCATGCTGAGTGGCTGTCCCCTGGGACATCAGCTGTAATGTTGATGTCACAGTTTGAGTTTTCAGCTTTGTTTTCGAATTCTTGTTGTGCTCTGTAAAACATTCTGTGTGTCTCTTTGTATTGTACTTTTTTAGCATGCATTCCAGTTTGATATTATATTTTCTTTGTGTCTTTTTAATCCTTTTTACAGTGTGCGTGACTATATATACTTTCCTCAAATCTTAATTTAGTTTCAGAGTTTTCGTCTTGAAATTCTTAGTTCCTGCATTGCGGTTTGTTCTTATGCCCTTTTTATATTTCTTTTTGCGTCTTAAATTTCACTTGTAATTCAATCATTAAATGTTACTGTTTTTCTTTTCGGGCATTTCACTTTCTTGCAATTGAATTTTGTTTTCAGTGGTCATTACATTTAAGTGTCTTGAATAAATAAGATAATAATGAAATACATGTATCACGAAGTTTGGGAATAAAGTGCCGGGTGGCACCAAAATTTTTCACACAG